GTTGCTGATTGGCCATTGTGTTCACGTTCTCAACAGAAATGATTGTGATTGGCCGTGAAGCTCATCAGTTAACCGAACTCATCACTGTTTACTTAGTGTAACCAAAGATACAGGGCTGAGTGTTTCAAAGTCACATCAATCAGCTGGTTTGTCTATACGTTGGCATTTTAGCGGTCCACTGATGAATCGTGGATTCAGAACGCTCCAGTGTCCCTGTATCTGTGGTTCAGCTCAGTAAACAGCGGTGTGAACTGATGACCTTCACGGCCAATCACAGTCATTTCTGTTGTGCACATGAACACAATGGCAAATCAGCGCCGTTTAAGAACGCAAATGTTATTGTCAAATGGACGTTTTTAAAATTGCAGTGTCGATTGGTAGCGAATTCCAGTTTCGTCCAACCCTAGACTCTTCACAGCTTAACACTAACTCTCCACATCATCCTCTAACGGTTTTTGTGTTCAGATAATGCTTGATGTGATTGTTTTTATTTTGTGATGGATAATGTGACTTCCAGTGCTCGAGTCATCCGGTTGATCGGCGTCTAGAACAAAGTCTGCTTTTAAAGTTCTCAGACTGGAAAATCGTGCGAGTGTGTCCCACTTCCAATTTTACGACGGTTTTAATTTATGTCTTTTGAAAAGAAAAAAAAACTCTTTTAAAAGCATGTCGTCTGTAACTGTCCATTGGTTAAAATAAGCAGGAACCCTCATGGTGGTTCGGATCTTTCGCATTTGCATGCGTGTCCAATTCCAGAGCTTTTATATGAGGCAGGCTGACACTGAATGCAGAAGGCGGGGCTTATGCAGTTTAGCATGTAGGCTGTTGAACACACATTTGATATTTTTGGTGTGCGAAGCAAATTTTATTGGCCTTTTTATACATTTGTGAACATTAAAGCAAGAGTGCACCCAGCAAACAGAATTTGGGGTTAGTAGTTCCACTCGCCGGCTATCCTTTATGTCAGCGATGTTCGGCAAAGTGATTCTGATTCATAAATTCCAGGTAAACTATTACTTTCAATGTCAGCATAGATTAAAACACATACAGGCAAAACTAAATGAATACCCTTTGGTTTCTGATGATATATTGAGGTCTTATGGTGCAAAGTGATTGATCTGTGCAAGGAATTACACCATTTATTACATTATCTTTACTATAATGTTCAGTTTCATGCACAGGCCAATTATTATCTTTGCAAAACCCAATGCATCGACCCATGTTTCATTTTGTTTAGCTGTTTACTTGCATTTTATTGATCAACAAGTAGCGCTGTTTTACCTAAAAATGATCATTAATATTTAACTGATGAGAAAAGTTGCCTATATCTTGCCCTGAGAGGTTTTTTTGGGGTGAACTATTCCTTTAACTTGTGAGTGTGTGTTTTAGAGTTGTCACGATACTGGAATTTGGTACCAATCGATACTGAAATGTTAAAAACGTCAATTTCTTGCTAGCATTTGAGCACGTTCTTAAACAGCGCTGATTGGCTATTGTATTCACATGCTCCACAGAAATGAATGTGATTGGCTGTGAAGGTCATCAGTTCACCAAACTCACCCGCTGTTTATGGAGTGTAACAACAGATACAGGGACAACGGAGCGTTTCAAAGTCAAGTCGATCAGCTGGTTTGTCTATAAGCTGACATACGCTGATAAATTTTGGCTTTAAAATAGTCCAGTGTGCCTGTATCTGTGGTTATACTCAGTAAACAGCGGTGAGTTCGGTGAACTAATGACCTTCACGGCCAGTCACAGTCATTTCTGTTGAGCATGTGAACTCAATGGCAAATCAGCGCTGTTTAAGAACACGCTCAAATGCTAGCGGGATATAGACGTTTTTAATATTGCATTATTGATTGGTACCGAATTTCAGTATCATGATAACCCTAGTGTGTGTGTGTCTGTGTGTGTGTGTTTGTGAATTTAAAGCTTTGTTGCAATATGACTTCACAACGCATTTTTATGAATCCCGCTGATTTGATTTCCCAGAAATAGCATTACAGCTTCAGCGGCGGAGCTTATACTGCAACAATTTATGCTGCTGTTTATCAAATCAGCTCAAATCCCCTCCCCTGATTGGCCAATGACTTTTGTTGAGTTCCACTAATCACCTTTTATTTGCATTCAAGACAGGATAGCAAGCGATTGCACTTAAGCGCCCTTTTTCGTTTGGAGAACAATGTTACAGAAAACAAACCAGACACGTTTCTATAATAGATCTGGATTATGATAATCACACTTGAATACCCATTTGGGAAATGGACGCTTATATATGCGCACAACGATGAGAGTAACTGAGAACGGGGGCACTGTGTGTGTGTGTATGTGTGTGTGCGTGAACGTGCAGAGTTTTATTATAAATAAATGTAGCATTGTAAATGTAGAGATGATAAATCAAGAAAAAAAAATCCATATTTGAGTGGCGGGGTTTGGTTTTTTTAATGACATACTTGCCTTCTGAGCTCTGTTGTGCTTGTTTAGATTCTAGCCTACGATTGGTTGAAGAGTTGTCGATGCATTTGCATACACCTTTCGTTGACGAGCATTTATAATCTCCCTCTGCTTTTTATTTGTGTAAAGATTTCGGTATTTTAGCTGCTCGGCTTGAATTAGTAGCTTTTTTCTAAAAAAACAAAACAAAAAAAGCTGTCCCCAGTAGGAAGGGTTTGTGTTTGGAACGTTTGTGGATGTAAGATTGTGTTGAATTGTGGTCTCGTAGCAAGCAATGGCAGCTGAGGAACCTCTCGGAAACCATGTGTTCAGTGCCTTGAGGAGATTTCTCCTTTTACTGAACCACAAAAAGCCGTTCTGATGCTCGACAAAACCAGAATTGCGCCTTTTGAATGTTGAGTGTTTTAGATATTGATAGAAATATCGGTAAAAACTACGGTCTGGATGTCATTTGGATTATTTATTTGACCCTTTGTGCGAGTGACAAATGCAATCCTGATTATTATTATTTTTTTTTTAAAGCTTCTGTGGTAAGAGAGAAGGACCTTCTTGCTTTTAACTCTTTGTATCCTCATCATCATCATCGTTTAAGGACATGTCTTTCACTCATTTCTGACTGTATGCACATCCTCTGAAGTTGCTTCATCCAGGGTTTGTTTTAGACTTTTAGGCCTCCTGACAATTCACCTGAGAATTGCTGTCGGCGACCAAAAGTGTGCGATTTTTAAAAGCTGTACCCGTGTTCTTGTTGGCTGTGTGGTTGTGTATATGCTCCTACTGCTGGATCGGTACCTTAGCTGAAGTCATGATGATGATGGTGGAAAAGACCAGAATTAAACCTCCTCCTGTCCAGACATGAGGGGAACGTGTTGTTTTTTGGCTTAGCGTCAATGTGTAGTTGGTTCTTTATTTAGTGGAAAATAAGGATTAGGTGTTGTGAAAGAATTTCGTGGGACACCAAAGATCCTGTGGTAATGATGATTATGAGAGTTTTAATAAAATGGGAATATGGAAATTAATGTACTTGTTATTGCGGTTTTATTTATTACTATTTTTTTTCAATATCAATTGAAAATGTAGCATTTGTAATGCTATTTAGCACAAAAAACTAATATAATTACAATAAAAACAATAATAATAATAAGATATTGTACTTAAAATTAGACACATTCAGGTTTTTTGTATTTATTATTTTAACTGTTAATTGTTTAATGTGTTGTTGTTGTATTGTACTTTGTTTCATATTACCAACCCAGGCTCATTCTGATTACGTACCCCTATATACATTTCTAGAGAGCGCCAAATACATCCCAGGTGGTATGTTTTTTTTTTTTTTTTTTTCGGGCAGATGTTTCCGTAAATCCAACAGAGGCCGCTGTGTACACTTTTTCCAGATTTTAAATTTGTTTTGCGCCTGCTATTCTCACGCAAATCCACCAGAGGCCGCTGTCGACTGACTGATCAACCGACTTCTCTAAAAACCAACCAATTATGTTTTTTAAATGGATCCATTCACCAGCGGATCGATTTTTATTATTTCAACATGTTTTTAATTTTATTTATTTTGTATCATGAGTTTCACAACAATTTTACCACTTTAAAAATAAGTATTTTAAACTTATATTTATGGATGATCAATAAAAAAAAAAAGGTTTATAAATTTTAGATTTATTGATGTATTTTTGATGTAATTCTTTAGGATAACTGTAATTCTTTTAAATTAAAAAATATATATTTTTTAATTGTTTAATGTATTATTATTATAGTACTTTTAGTTTCATATTACTTAATGTATTTTAACATGTTTTAATTTAAAAAAATTTTTATCATGAGTTTCACATCAACCATTTTTTTACTAATTTAAAATCAGTATCTAGACATGATAATGGAGGAATCAATTAAAAAATTTTAGCAAATTGTATATTTATTGATGTATTTTGATGTAATGCTTTAGAATATAGACATTTTTAATTTAATAGAATTTTAGATTAGATCTTTTATTTATAATTATTTATATTTTATATTTATTTTTTTATAATTATTCAATGTACTTTTTTTGTTGTTGTTATTAATGTTATTATTATTAGTAGTATTCCAGCTGGAAGCTAGCTCTCTGCAACTCTCACATGGTCAGTACCTGGATGGGAGACCACATGGGAAAGCTAGGTTGCCAGAAGTGGTGTCAGTGAGACCAGCAGGGGTAGCTCAACCTGCACTCTGTGTGGGCCCTAACGCCCCAGTATAGTGAAGGGGACTTTATACTGCTCAGTATTTAACTGTAAGGAATTATTATTATTATTTGTATTATTATTATTATGCATCATAAGTTTTACTGCAATTAGGCAAATATCTTAATTGCAAATATTTATTGATGTACTTCGGATTTTATTATATCTATAGATTTATTTTTTATATAGATTTTTTTCTAACTATTCAATGTGTTATTATTTTTGTTATTGTACTTTTAGTTTAATATTACTTTATAATATTTAAACATTTTTTTAGTTTTATTTTGTATCATGATTTCCACAATTACTCACATTTTTACCTATTTAAAAATGTATGCGTAGACTGATTGTGGTGAATGTAGTTTCTTATGTATTTCTGCTTGCAGTGTTATCATGAGACGCCCTAGCTGCTTTCTTGCATCCTCATTCCAAATTGACGTTTGCAAACAGGTAGTATGTGTTATATATACAGTATATGTACACGGAAAATGCTCGTAAAATATTATAATACAATTAAAGAGACTCGAAACGGGCTGCATTACATATCAGGTGATTATATTATGTTACATAACTGCTGCCTTCCTCTTTAAATGACAGGAACTTCATTAGGTGAACATGCTTTAAAGAGCCAGAGCAAAAAAGAAGGAATTCAGTAGTAATCTGATCGTTCCACATCACTTTGAATTTACTTTGTCAGTGTGTTATTAATACACTGCTAGGATGTCTCCTGCCCGGCTGTGCAGTCAGAAGATGAGGATGGGTGTTACTGTGTGAGGAATTAAAGATCCTCCCAGTGTTTCTTTCCTTCAGACTGAGCTGGAGATCATGGAGGCTGGATCTGTGGTTTTCTCAAGGGACTCTCAGTGGTTCGTTTTCAATGGTAAGTCTATTAATTTGTAATTGCTTGACTGAAAAATGAATCTCCTCTCGAGAATCTCGACAACTGATTACAGCTGTGTGTAGTGTTATTTAACATAGTAGTTCAGTTTTATAGGAATTGTTCACCCAGAAATGAAAATTATATCACAATTTAATCACCATCAAGCCATTTTCTGTTTATGATATGATGTTTATGAAGGTAGTTTTAAATTTGATCCTGGCTCTTCTATGCTTTATAATGGTGTTGGATAGGGGCTTTTATTTTGAACCCTCCAAAAACCTACATATTTTTTATAAAACTAACTCATACACCGCTAGGGGGTTAATGCATGTCTTTTGAAGCAGATTGATCGTGTTTTTGGAGTGGCACGGTGGCTCAGTGGTTAGCACTGTCCCCTCACAGCAAGAAAGTCACTGGTTTGAGTCCCGGCTGGGCCAGTTGGCATTTCTGTGTGCAGTTTGCATGACGGTTTCACTCCACAGTCCAATTAGTGAATTGGTCAAATATAAATTGGCCGTAGTGTACGAGTATGTGTAAATGCGAGAGTGTATGGCTGTTTCCCAGTACTGGGTTGCAGCTGGAAAGGCATTTGTTGCGTAAACGTATGCTGGAATCTGTAGCGACCCCTAATAAATATGGGACTAAGGAAAATTAATGAAATTGTAAACTTCAATTGTTGACTTCTGGTGGCGTCCAAATGCACGTTTTTTCAACTGACGTATACGGTGTATGACGCATGCTGTATGTTAGACACATGTATGCATCATGGTAGGAGTAATATGCTGTTTATTGTTATACAATAATGCCAAGCCAACTAGTTTTCTTGTTCGTTGACGTCTTCGGTGTTAAATTGTGTGGTAAGCGGTTTCCGCGTGACGAGTCTATTCCTGGAACTTCCGCTATGAATATGTCGTACATCATGAACGTCAAACGGTGAATAGACCATTTCTATGTGAGGTTGTCATTGGCCTATGATCATTTCCTGCTTGTTGCTAAACTATTTCCTAACTGTACCAATCATAACATCTTGTTAAAACAGCTGTCATAACATTATTTATCAATAGGTGGACCTTTTTGGATTCTCGAAAGCTATAAAATTAAAAATGTAAAACAGGAAATTCGTTAGAACCATTGTTATTGTTTACATCCCTCAAAATGGTCTATAATTCAGTCACTCATTAAATTAAAAATTTGTAATATTTCGATTACAAATACTTATCGATCCACTTCATAAGACATACACTAACACCCTGGCAGGATATGGGTTAGTTTACTAATTCATGCAATTTTGGAAACTTCAAAATATAAGCCTCTATCCAACACTATTATATAGCATGGAAGAGCCAGGATAACATTTTAAAACTCTCCAACTGTGTTTATCTGACAGAAAAATCTCTTAAATCTAAAATATTCAAGTAATTCATGGGGTAATTTTAATTTTGGCTGAACCACCATGGACCTTTTTCACATTTCCGGGTTTCTCAGTAGCGCAGGCATGTCCAGACTCGGTCCTGGAGGGCGGGTGTCCTGTAAAGTTTAGTTCCAACCCCAATCAGACACACCTGGGCTAGCTAATCAAGAGCTTACTAGCCATTCTAGAAATATCCTTGCAGGTGTGCTAAAGCAATGTGAAGCTAAAATCTGAAGGACGCCGGCCCTTCAGGACCGAGATTGGACACCCCTGCAGTAGCGAAAGTCGTCATAGTTGGGTAAACTTAGAACGCAGTGAATGGGAGAGAACAACAAATCATTGTTTTACAATCCTATTTGCTGTAATAATCAAAGAAAAGCTCCACCGTGGTGTTATCAAGACTTTCAAAGAATAATAATAAATTGGGAGACTGAAAACAACCCCAACCAGACGAGAGAACAACGTCAAATTTACTGTCCTCCCCATAGACCAGGGTCGTCAAAACTCAGGCCTGGAGGAGCAGTGTCCTTCAGTTTAGCTCCAACCCTAATCAAACACACCTGAAGCAGCTAATCGAGCTCTTACTAGATATCTCAACACACCTGCCAGGATGTTTCTAGTATAAGTTGGAGCTAAACTCAGCAAGAAACTGGTCCTCCAAGACCAAGTTCAGACATCCCTGCCATAGACGCTGCATTAGAAACATCTCACATGAGTGGTAATTCGTTTTTTGTAATTGGATGCAAAGATGATATAATACATACACAAATACATATAAATGTTCATACTTGATGCGACTTGATGAGCTGTGCTCGATTAAGGTTGGAGCAAAACTGTGCAGAGCTGCGGCTCTCCAGGAATTGAGTTTGAGACCAATGCTTCAAGTTGTTGTGTTCATGTCAAGAATATAACCTCTTAAGAATTTGATTTATAACATATATAACTTTTTTGAATCGCAGGTTCTTCCAACAGCAGCACACACACCCCTTTGCTTGAAGAATCGCTCTCTGTGTCGGGAAGTCCTCGTCGTGTGTTGGGGAGTGTTGGAATGGTCTTAATCATACTTCTCACTGGCTCAATAAGTCTACTTACGGTCCTGGGCAACGTCCTGGTTCTGCTTTCAATCAAAGTCAACCGCAATCTCCGAACCATCAACAACTATTTCCTTTTTAGTCTCGCTTGCTCGGATCTTATCGTCGGTGTGTTCTCTATGAATCTCTACATTGTTTACGTGGTGAAAGGATATTGGCCTTTGGGGCCGCAAATGTGCGACTTGTGGTTGGTTGTGGATTACGTGGTGAGTAACGCCTCTGTGATGAACCTCCTGTTGATCTGCTTTGATCGCTACTTCTGCGTGACCCGGCCTTTGAGTTACCCTACCAAACGCACCGCGAGATGGGCTGGGGCAATGATTACCGTGGCTTGGTTACAGTCTCTGCTTCTGTGGGCTCCGGCCATCCTGCTTTGGCAGGCTGGGAGGGACCGAAGTAAAGTTCCTGAGGGACAGTGTTACATCCTGCTACTTGCTAACCCAGCTGTAACCCTCGCTACGACCATCCCGGCGTTCTACATTCCCGTTATAATTATGACAGTACTGTACACGCGGATATCCCTGGCAAGCCAGAGGCAGGTTCACAAGTTGAAACCTGAATCCGCAAACCTTCTTTATCCATCCAAAACAAGCAGAGTTAAGTCTCTTGCAAACCCTGACCTAGTGAATGACATTAAGCCATGCTCCTGCAAACAAGAGTTGGATCTCGGTAGAACCAAACAACTCTTCAGCCTCCCTTCTGTTGAGTTCAGCAAAACAGAGTACTCCATGGATTCAAGTCCCGATGTTTCTGCTGAACACCGAGGACTGGATGCGGAAGCTTCAAGACTGAAGAACTCGACTGAAACGAACAGGAAAACACAAGCTGACTGTCTTCAAACCAATAGTGGCGTTCAGGTTCAAAGGCAAACATCCAATATGGTCTCCAAGAATGCCAAACGTAAGGCTTTGAGGGAGAGGAAGGTGACCAAGACTGTCCTCGCTGTTCTTCTGGCCTTCATCATCACTTGGACGCCCTACAGTGTCATGGTTCTGATTGGTACCTTCTGTCGTTGGTGTGTCCCTGAGGTTTTGTGGATGGTGGGATACTTTCTGTGCTATGTCAACAGCACGGTAAATCCTGTATGCTACGCGCTTTGTAATGCCACCTTCAAGAGAACATTCAAACGACTGTTAAGGTGCAAGTTCAAGAATCTGGCGTTGAAATAACTCTTGATCAATGAGGAACCAGATTTTTTTCTGACTTTAAAGAAGACTTGCTAAGACTGTTCTTTTTATCATGTTGCCAATAATCTATGTGTGCCTGCATAATGGTTTGTACAGTTTTTAAAGTGGTAGTGCACCCAAAAAGTAAAATTTGTCATCATTTGCTTACCCTTCACTTTTCAAAACCTTTGATTTTCTTTCTTATGTTGAACACAAAAGAAGATATTTTGAAAAATCCTGGGCTTTTTTTCTTACTTTGGAAGTTGATGTGGGTACCAGGCATTCTTGAAAATGTCATTTTTGTGTTCAACAGAAGAAAGAAACTCCTGAAACTCCTAAATTAGGTCATTTTTGTGTGAACTATCCCTTTAATACAATTACATTTTTGTAAATGCATTTGTATAATAACAATTGTATTTAAATATGTAAATCAGTAACTCTTTTGTTAGTGTGAATAATTTTTTAAAAATATTCTGTATTTTCAATGTTTATACTGTATGCGTTGAATGCATTGTAAGTCATTTAAACGGTTAAGCGAATGTGATGGTTTACGAAGTCGAAGTCAAAATAAAGATGCTTGATATCTTGCTGCTTAACAATTGTTCTATCTCTTATGACTCGTCCAGCAAAGTTTATTTTGTTTTACTTTGTAAGACTTAGCGCTGGTTTACACTTTTACGTCAAGTAATCGGCTCGACCCACGGTGCCTGCCTTGTAGTTGTGCATTTATACTTCTGCATGCTGTTTGTGTTGCTCTGCAATGACATTTCCGAAACGCTAGCTGGCAGTAAGTTTTCTTGTTCCTCTGTGTCGAGTTTCTTTGCAGGTGTTTAGTTTTTTTTCTTAACGCTATCTAAATTTGCAAGTAGCTAAAACTCACTCATTTAGAGGCGTGAACCGGCAGACATGCAACAACATTAATCATAAGGTAAACACAAAACAACAGTTTCCAAATGGAGCTACTACACCGGACTTGACTTGTAAACACCCGCTTCAATGGGTTTGCGCGGCTCTCAGTCCCACCCACGCTGGTCACAACTACCAAGCCGGCCAATCATAGAGCTAGCGCTACGCGTCGTTGCAACATGTAGTTGCATTTTTTTGAGATGTGCGCGTCAGCCATGGCAAGGCTGAGTCGGACTATACACATGGCTTGATGCAGAAGTATAAGGGGCCGATTAAATTGTACACGCTTTTACGTCCCAAAAAACGCAAGGCGCACCGAAATGCCTTTTTTATTGATAAGGAAAAAAATTGTGGTGCAACAACTGAATCAGCTTCGTATTGTGCGAGAGTTGCTATTAATATTGTTATAATTGTAATATTTAATAATATTGTGATATTCAAGATTTGTAAAGTCATACAGCTGGATAACATAAAACAGCGACCCATAGTCTCTCCTCCATCTTTACAAATCTCTGTAGTCGTCGTAACAACACAAAAACTGCTGTCACCTCAACGGAAACCCCGCCTCTGCTTTCATTTGATTGAAGAATGAAAAAGACGCGACGGACGTAACTCAATTTTTCCGCTCAGTTGACCCACCGCACCTGCCTTGCACGTTGCCTTGCATTTATACTTCTGCGTACTGTTTGTGTTGCTCTGCAATAGCACTTCTAAAACGTTAGCAGGTAGTAAGTTTTTATGTTCCTCTGTGTCGAGTTTCTTCGCGGGTGTTTTGTTTTTTCTGAACGCTACCTAATTGTACAAGTAGCTAAAGCTTACTCATCTAGAGGCAGAAACGTGCAACAACTTTAATTTTAAGGTAAACACAAAACAAAATTTGCATTTGGAGCTACTTAACGGGACTCCCCACTTGTAAACACTTCCTCCAACATGCTCGCGAGGCTTTCGGTCCGGCTCACACTGGTCACCGCTACCAAGCCGACCAATCACAGAGCTTGTGCTACGCATCGTTGCGACATGTTACATTTTTTTGAGAGGTGTGCGTCAGCCACGGCGAGGCCTGTGCGACCTTGCAAAAGCTGCGCCGGACCATACATGTGCGCTTGAAGTATAAATCAACCTTAAAGTCGCACCATTAAACATGTTTGATGCGTATTTTTACAAACGTGTAAAACTGTTTCCAGAAAGGCACCAGAAAGTATTATTGAAAATACACTTTCATTTATTCACAACCTGCAGAAGTAATCCGTTAGTGATGTCAATTTTGATTGTACATCCATCAAATCTAAAAACATAAACATTTATAAACATAGGTACTTATATAGGCCGTTACCACCAGGAGCAGTGTTTTAAACATTCACCTTACATGTTATGACATCCATTCAATCTCGTTGTCATTTACAGATCACTTTAGGGGGGGGGCATAATTAGGATCTTGCCAGTTTTCCTCTTTAGTAAAGACAATTTGTTAGACGACAGATTTCGCTGCGGCCTGTTTTATACATGCAAAAGTCAATTACAATTAAAAACCTGCTACAAATTACAACAGCATAGACACGTACATTTACTAATTACAAAACGAGGAAGGTGGGAATAAAAACAATAGGTAGGGCTACAGTTTTGTTTTATTCCTCTCAGCATTCACCATTTGGAGGATTTGGGCGTGTCACGTAGGAATGTACCACTGAGAGGGCAGTAGGGGTGCTCGCCAAGTTAGTTTTCCTTCCCTTTTCCTTTCTTCTTCTCGCCTCCCTTGGGTTTGGGGGTCTTTGGGGTGCAAGGTTTGGACACTTTAATGGTGGTCTGGCATTCAGCGTTGAACAGCGCCTTCTTCAATGTCCCAGACCTGCTTCTGGTTCCTGTAGTAGTGTCACATTCGGCCCAACGACCAAACTTGTACTTGCAGTCGGCTACAAATAAGAACAAACAAAGCTAAGTGGTCTGTCGGAATGTATTTATACATGATGTACTGCATAACTGCTTACCGCCAAAGTCCTTCTTCCAGTTGCATGGGACTTTGCACTTGGTTTTCTTGGTTTGTTCGTTGCAGGTTGCCTCTCGGATGCCATTTCCACAGTCTCCGCTATTGGGCACGCATTTCCCATACTGCCATTCACTGCACTCAGCATCTGCTTTGGGCTCTTTGCCCTTTTCTGTTGCAAAATGTGAGTATGATTATGAATAAATATGCATAAAAGAAGTATGTCTTGTAAATATTTTGAGATAAGAACCTTTTTTCTTCATACTGGCTTCAACAGTGATCATCGAGACCACCACCAGCACAAGAGCTATAGAGAACAAACTCCGCATTCTGTGAAGAAATGACATCAGGTTAAATTATGCAGATCATAAATATGTATGGATACATATTTAGAAATGTATGATTTCCCTTTAAGCACATGACAACCAAATGCAGGGTTACAGGACTGTATGTATGTGGACGCATAGTGTGTTTCTATACAAAGTGACATGATAATGAATCTTCAGTTGTAAACGGGCACCATTTGAGTACATTGTGGTCCTGTTAACACTGTAGAAAACACAGTTACTCTTATCTCGCCTGTTCACTAAAGCAGGTGGTCCAGATGGTGAAAGACAACAGGCAGCCTAAACTACATCTGTTTATTTGCCCGAGTATTCACACTAGCCCCTTTCACACAAGGATGCCGGTAAATATCTGGAAAATTAGATTCATAAAAGCGCTGTTCACACAGTCAAGGACGTTACGGAATTTTTCCAAAAAGGAGCGTTCACACATCCACTCCAAAATAGCGGTAAATTCTGACATCATTAACCTAGAAATGAGCTCTGAACGACTGTGCTTGTATTTGTAAACATTTAAATACATTGCAAATTCTGTGGATGGATCAGTATTGTAAACAACTTCAATGAACATATGGAGGAACACTTCCGCATGTATAGATGTACGTGATATGTGTGTGTGCTGGCGCTCACTGGCTGCTTCACAGGCACACGCATCAGAGCTTTAAGGTTAACACACAACGGCTTATCATAAGCATTTTATCGATATTTTTTTCCACAGTTGGCATTAAGAAGGAACATATAATCGTTATCTGACTAACATCTAGCAGCTAAAAGTGTCTGCTCAACTGATTGGCTGAAGTAGACGTCTCATGACTCTATCCGCCAATCTTCCTTCTGCGTTACCGCCAATAGGGTATATGCCGAAGCATGCTAATAGGACTTTTAATTTGCCAGTAACCTGGATTGTTTTCGGCGAACTGTATGCCATTGCAAAATCGGCGCGTTTAAGGTCTGTTTTTTAAAAAATCAGCGATCTCCACTGGCTGAGTGATATCCGATATAAAGTGGGACTCAGATTGTACAAGAAGCCCTGCAGTAAATTACATTTTCCCCGCCATGTATTTATAATATGAGCATTTATTTTACCCCAGTATATTCAATGGAGCTTCTGCGCTAATCTGCCGATTCTGACGGGCGCGTGCGAGCAAACGGCTTTTTGTCTCGTTTTACGCTTAAGCAACTAAATGGATGCCAAAGTCTGTTTAACTGATTGTATTTGAATTACATTACAACATCGATACTTTAAAAGGAACCATATAAAATGGAAAAAATTCACGATAACAGGTTACCGGAAGTGTATCAGCATGGGAAATGATTAGCTGGGCATATACCCCATTTTCAATTATCGGCAATTTTCAATAAAGGTTGTATGTGTGAACAGGTCTTTTTTGAAAATACCGGTAAATTCGTTCCGGCTATTTTCTGGAAAGAGAAGTTGTAACATTTCTGTTAATTTGTGTGAACGCAGAAGAAAGATTGCTGGAAAGAGCGCATGCACATCTAGAATGCGCTGACGTGAGACGTCTACTTTAGTCAATCAGATCAAACGCATTCACATCCGCGCGGTTTCTGATAATAAAAGCCTTTGAATATTTTTCCAGACACATTTAGCTTCTGGATGTTAGTCAGATAACAATTATATGTTCCTTCTTAATGCCAACTGTGTAAATTAATTAATTAATTATCGATAAGATGTTTATAAGCCGCTGTTTGTTTACCTTCAAGCTCTGCTTCCTTCAGTTGCTTGACGTGTCGCGTGTGCCGTGAAGCAGCCAGTGAGAGCCAGCACACACACATCTCGACATGCGGAAGTGTTCCTCCATATGTTCATCAAAGTTGTTCACAATACTGATCCATCCACAGAATTTGGAATGTAGTCAAATGTTTACAAATACAAGCGCAGCCGCTTACAGCTCTTTCTGGTTAATGATGTCAGAATTTACCGCTATTTTGGAATGGATGTGTGAACGCTCCTTTCCGGAAAAATTCCCTAACGTCCTCGCCTGTGTGAACAGCGCTTTTATGAATCTACCGGTAAAGTCAATCCGGATATTTTCTGGATACTAACCAGTATCACTGTGTGAAAGTGGCTAATATCTGCTGTTAAGGCTGGTTTTGGCACGTTTTTCCACCCAAACAAACTGTTACAGTCTTCTAAAAGTCTGTTCACACTGAAGACGATGGCTGTAATGATGATGATGTGCTTTGTGTAAAACGTTGCATGCATTCCTGACTATGTAGTATCTGAATATAGTACGTGAGCTGAGTAGCAAGTTCAAAATATAGTCTAGTTGATGAGAATACCCTGACTCCAAGCCTCTGAAGCATACGTTAATGGACACTTTACTATCCCATTAGGCCACAGGAGAGGATTTATGAATGGAAGTGACAGAATTGACACCGTCATGGGATAATGACAATAGGCCAGAAGCAAAAGGTACGAATTCTCGTCATACTACCCACATTTATATACCTACTTATTTCACGGTTGTTAGGAAAGTTTAAATATACTACTCTGATAGTAGTCATTTTTGGATGCACTGATTAAAAAAAAAAGTCCAAACCACAAGTTTAACTAAACTGACACACAGAAATAATGTTGGTGGAGTGACGCTAATATAGCTACCATTAACCTATAGTTTCCGTCCTTGATTTCAATGCATCTTAAAGGGTACATGAACCAGAAGTTGAGACTTTTATTTCAGAATGTTGATGTACTTCTAGCTGAATAGAAAAATTTTTTTTGTTGCTCTCCATTCCCTCATAGCAAACTAAATGTAATATGAGTGTGGTTACAAGTATTGTGGCTGAAGCATCAAACTGATGTCAACAGATTAGCACCACCTTCTAAAGGTAGAAGCAAATTGATAGACTTGTGGCCCGTTTCCACTGAATGGTACGGTACGGTACAGTATGGTTCGGTGCGCTTTTATGGCCGTTTTCTGAGTTAAAAGGTACCCAAAATTGAACCGTACCATACCACTTAGCCTCTCAAAATGGTACCAAAAGGCGGAACTAGACACGCAGCTGAACGCTATTGGTTTACAGGGAAAGTCCCTCGCCCATACACAAGCAGGAGAATGAAATCAAAGAAACCGCCATTTTTATATACACAGCCGAGACATTACATCGTAATGCGATATGCATATAATAACGAGCCATATTTGACCCGAGCTCAAACAAACCTCATCGTTGTCTTGACGTACAGCCGCAAACCCAAAAAGAACAAAATCTGCCGTGTCCTGTTGTTGTTTTACGAGGGCGTCTAAAAGTAGAGCGGTTTCACTTTCTCCAGGGAGCTCACAATTGCTCGTGTACACAACTATATTTGAAATAATGAACTTCTTGAGCTGATGATAATATCGTGCGCGTGATTATTGAAGTGCTTCTGACATCAGTTCCTTTTAGAAACAGACAAACGCGAGAGTGAAGGAACAAATTACTCTTTCACCAACCTAAACCATAAACAAGCTGCCATGTTTATCATCGCCTTTTGGACCGTTATGGACTCGGAATGACGGAATTGCTTTTTAACAGAGGTTGCATGTGCTGGTGAAGACTGGGCTTCAGGCCTGCTTTAGAAAAAAACTGGTACAGAAGTGCCAGTGATGCCTTCGTATAGAGATTTCCAATCCCTGTGCAATGGAGAGCATAAAGGGGAAAAAAATGCCAATGGCGAACTTAAATCTGTAAAAAACGCTTGAGGAAGGGCAAACTTCTGGTGAACTTTTCAAATAGTGACATGTTTAAATGATGAGCCAACTGCTTATGCACAATGCACAACTTGTAAGTGAATTGAGTAAACTCACTGTGGACCACATAAAGCTTGGATATCGATGTCATTTAAAAACTAAAACTTACATTGAAAAACCGAAACGTTTCTCTAAATTATTTTGATCAAAAACAAAATTAAAAAACATCACCTTTCTATTAAATACAGATCTGGTCTATTTTAATGGCTGTAACAGTATGAGCTGTTTGGCAGTAAAGTTAGGTTTTCGGGTCAAAAATTTTGAAAAGCTGTTGGACAAGGGCAGGGCTACAGCCTGAGCGTCTCAGGCAAGGGCCGGGATGGAGCTTAGACCCTGTGCAGGGCTCTAGACTTTGATTAAAGATCACCGAAACAAACTTTTATTTCTTCAGTAGATTAACTTGCACTGATTAGTTGTTCACCTAAAGCAGGGGTCACCAATCTTGGTCCTGGAGGGCCGGTGTCCCTGCAGGATTTAGCTCCAACTTGCCTCAACACACCTGCCTGGATGTTTCAAGTATGCCAAGTAAGACCTTGATTAGCTTGTTCAGGTGTGTTTGATTAGGGTTGGAGCTAACATCTCCAGGACACCGGCCCTCCAGGAACAAGTTTGATGACCACTGACCTAAAGAATAACAACATGCACTAGCGAAATAAACATTTCAGCTGGCAGTTTTCATCATTTATCAGTAGGGTTGGGTCGATAGACGATGCCATCGTCCATTGCTGATAGACTTGACGATGCTGAGCCGGAATCGCGGCCCTCCACCCCAATCGCAGCATCAACCCACTCGCGAAAAATACACACGTAGGCCCCGTTTACACTAATATATCTTAGTTTTAAAATGCAATTTTAGAACAAAAATGATCCACATCCACATTGGCGTTTCACTTAGCATTCTGAACAGCTCTCTGTCCACACTATACCGCTGAAAACGAACACCACATAACCACACACACAAACAGTCACGCGCTGCAGCATATGAGCATGTCTGAACTCCAGCAGTCAGCAGGTGGTTTGAGCACAAAACCCCAGAGAGCAGTACACTTTGGACAGTTTATCAAGGATGTACCGCTGGATCGTGTCTTACTATAGTTGTTAAACGTGATATTTAATTAATCTTGTCTCTATCTAACGACTCTTCGGTCTCTTGGATCTATCAGGTAACGTGTCACAGCGTCAGTACACTCAGTCTTTCGCTTCCACGCTTGTACTTAGTAATTTTCGGGAAGACCTCAGATACTGTTGGCTGGTTCCTGTTAGCTGTGCACCTTTTTTACCAACCAAGTTTGTCGACGCCATTATAACAACACAGATCACTCTGCCTATTAATGCCAAAGTCCCGCGGAAAAAGTGATTGACAGGTGGTCATTTGTGAGTAACTTTATTTATTTATGATTTGGTTATGGGTAAAGACCATGGGGGTCAGGTAGTTGAGAAGGTATGCTACAAATAATTAATTCGTTATGAATAAATGAATTATTCATAACTAATTCAGCGCTGTCTAGGACAACGATGCCATCGTCCATCGCGATTTCACATTAGACATCGTACAATGCCAAACTGGTCGACATCGCATAACCATACTCATCAGTTCAGTTAAAAAAAGCGATTCCTATGCATTGTATTCACACTAATTGTGTTGTTATATCGTCATCCTAACAAAATAGATATTAAATTCCACATTAACTGGAGGCTGCAGTTCATGTTTATTTATTTATTTATTTATTTTAATATTGTGACGCAGTTCCTATAGGAACGAAATAATTAAATGAGAAAGCAGTGGCCGTTTCTTGTTTTTTTCCCGCTGCGAGCTGATTGGATGATGTAACGTAGACATTTTATTCAGAAAGATTGGGAAAAGGGTTTGGGGGGTGTTTTTACAAACTAACAGACACCTCCTGCTCAGCATTTCTGTTTGTTGTCAAAACTGACAGCTGAAGAGGCGTGGTTGGGTATGTTAGCCACGCCCAATACCTCAGTCAGATGTAATCTGAGTTGAACTAAAAAAAATGTGCATTTAGATTTCAATTAAAGATCACAAAGGCAGACACGTTTTCTTAATGACATGCACAGTTCACCATGGCTAGCAATGCGAGTTTACAAAATTGATTAGATTTGATTAAATTTGTACTTTAATGTTTTTGTTGTGGCATCTGAATGAAAGACACAGTGTACACAATGTCCTACGCCATCCATCCTAGCAGCTCGCTGTGTGTGACTCCATAAAAGAGCCTCTCTCTATATATTTTCCTCTTTTCTCGGAAGCAAAAAAACAGCACTTCTCCTTTTCATTCTTCTCCTCCTGCCTCCATTAAAGCGGGCTCCTTTCACGGCGCGGCCCCGCGGCACGGCTCCATTCTTCAGTCACTCATAAATGTGAAGGGCTCCTCGGGGTCGGACTTTTGTGCGAGCAGAAACAGCGGTCGGCAGGGGTCCCACCCGCCTCCCCTCCCTTGCTCAGCCTCCGCGGGGAGACGGGCCAAGCACTCAAAGACCTTCAGCAGGGCCTTAGAGGAGCCTGATTCACTGGCTCCGAACAAAGCAGGATCTCGCCCGTTTTGCTTCCCTCTCTGAAAGAGCCCGAACACAGATCCCATGCTGTGCCCTGAAGAGGAGGGGGGGTGGGCCTCCGCTCGACTCCTTTGAATGTTATCCCTATTTGCATTGGAGGACAAACCCGGCTCTGTTGATGGAAGAGGGGATGTGGGATGCTGCCTTTGATAAACGCAGAACTGGACATTTTGAAAACTTCCTCAAGGAGCGCAAAGTTCACCGTCGACGCCCCACCCGCATCTGGAGCGCAGAAGCTGTAGCCCTGATGTGTGTGTTGTGTGTATGTGTGCGCGGTGGGTTTTGATTTGGGAGAAGTGGGTCAGCAGTTTGCTGGCAGCTGCTGGTCCTCTTTGGCACTCCATAGCCTATCATTTACCCTGACATCATTCATTTGCACACGAAAACACACAAACTCCACACTGAAGGCTATATCAGACGCGTGCTATAATAAAGCAGCGATGACGAAACGCGATCGCATCTCTGTGCAATGTCAAATAATCATCCAAATAGCTTTCAAAATGCTGTAAAAAAATCAGTGTAAAATTGACGTTTGTTATTATCCATACGACTTTTTTGAAGTCACAATCATAAATACGCTCAAATATATTATAAATACGCTCAAATATATTGTAAATACGTCAAATATATTATATACGGTCAAATATATTATAAATATGCTCAAATATATTGTAAATACGTTCAAATATATTATATACGTTCAAATATATTATACATACGCTCAAATATATTGTAAATACGGTCAAATATATTATAAATACGCTCAAATATATTGTAAATACGTTTAAATATATTATATACGGTCAAATATATTGTAAATATGGTCAAATATATTATAAATACGCTCAAATATATTGTAAATACGGTCAAATATATTGCAAATACGCTCAAATATATTATAAATAGGCTTAAATGTTTTATAAATACGCTCAAATATATTATATACGCCTTTAATAGCCGATAAAATGACAACGTGAGCATATTTGTAAAAATCCGCTTGCATTATTTATCAGACATGTATATGTAGACTTGGCTATCATTGATCAAACGTGCTGCGTCGTGAACGCATCTATAATATCAGTCGTTGTGTTGTGTTATGATGATGATGGTGATGATAATGATGCTAATGGTGATGATGAGGATGTACTTGCCTTATTGCTGTGAATATGATGCTGGGCTGTGAGGCGTGTGTCTGCGTTCAGCTCTCTCTATGATCTCCGCTGCTCTTTGTGTTTCACCGAACTAGTTTGAGCTGGTCGCATAGCTGTGCACCCTCTCTCTCTCTCTCTCTCTCTCTCTCTCTCTCTCTCTCCCTCTCTCTCTCTCTCCACGTGATCTGTCTATCTGCACAATTTATGTTTTATTATCAGATTGTCTGATTAAATTGTAGTGCATTAGTGGGTTTTCGTTGATGCATTTTGGTAAATGTTTTTACAAGAATATTCTGTCAATTTACCTGAATATTTCATTAATCGAGACTTTATTTTGTTTTTCATTCATTTATTTTTCTTTGGCTTACTCTCTTCATCCATTAGGAATTGCCACAATGGAATGAACCGCCAACTATTCCAATATGTGTTTTACACAGCCCAGCCTGATCTCATGAAAAAACGTAAGTATTTTTTACAATTTGCCAGTTTAGTGGCTAATTCGTACGAGTTCAGTTGTATGAAATTGTACGATTTTAAAAAGGAGGCGTGGCACCTGACCCCACCCCTAAACACAACCGTCACTGAAGGATGAGCAAGTTTTACTAAATTGAACGAATTAGATCGTACCAATTTCCTACGAATCAGCCACTAAATCAAATTTATTCGCAAGTTATGAATTGCCGTGAGATTGTGTCAAAATGCCCCTCCAAGCTGTAACCCAGTACTGGGAAACAAACACTCTTGCATTCACACACACTACGCTACGATCAATTTAGTTTATTTAGTTCACCTAAAGCACATGTGTTTGGACTATGAAGAAAATCGTAGCTTCCTGAGGAAACATACGCCAACACTGCTAGAACATGCAAACTCCACAGAAATGCCAACTGATCCAGTTGGGCTTCGAACCAGCGACCTTCTAGCTGTGACGCGACAGCGCTAACCATGTGCATTGAGCCACCGTGCCGCCTGTTTTGTTTTCATTATTAATTATCAGTTTTAACATTTGTGTGTGAAATGTTCAATTAAGCCTTAATATATAAATTTTCATTTCATATCTAATTTAATACTTTAATATTTTTTTATTTTAGCTTTGTTTTATTATTATTATTACATGTATCTTTTCTATTAGCTCACTATGTAGTAGCCTATTTTTTGTAGGGGAGAGTGGGGAGGAAAGTATAATTTTTCATAAAAACCTGATAATGTTTTAGACAGAACTATATATATATATATATATATATATATATATATATATATATATATATATATATATATATATATATATATATATATATATATATATATATATATATATATATGTATATATATGTATGTATATATGTGTATATATATATATATATATGTATATATATGTATGTATATATGTGTATGTATATATATATATATATGTATATATATGTATGTATATATGTGTATGTATATATATATATATATATATATATATATATATATATATATGTATGTATATATATATATATATATGTATGTGTATATATATATATATATATATATATATATATATATATATAAATGTATGTATATTAACATGTATGTATATATATATATATCGATTGACAGCTGCGTACTAAAATGTCTTCGTAATATTGCGTATAATCATATCAACAGGAAAGGACGTGCGCAAAGCAGCCGGGATTAAAAGATCTGTTCAGCTCTCTGTGATCATCAAATGTGATCAAGAATAAGGTTTACAAGTTTAAAATGTTTTAAAACAGAGCATGCTAATGAATTACAGTGATTTACTTCAGCTTTATCACCAAAGCCGCATGTCAGTACAATTATTAAACAAGACACTTCAGTCCTGGTTTGTGGACATTAAATCGGGTTTATTTTGTACATTAACAAAACAGATATCCATACAGCAGTGGATATTAAAGTGTATCCAGGCACATTTGCCGTGCAAAAACAGAGCAAAGATAAATGCGTGCGCAAACTTTGAAAAGACACTGTGTGTGACTCATCGCTCTCATCAGCTCCTTAACTCCACAACAAATACCTCATCTAATCATTGGTAAAGTTCTTACTGTAGTATTTCTCACAAACGTTTCGTGAGATCTGCTTCCTTCATGTCTGTCACTGTGCTGTTTATCTGATGCAGCAGAGGTGGAGATTGAGGCACACTCTGACAGGCATGTGGGAAGGGTGGGTGGGGAAAACTAGCATTAAAGGCACAGGCAACAAAAACAGCCACAATTACAAATGTCTGAAAGATATAATAAATAAACTGATGGGTGTTTTGAGCTGAAACTTTAGACACATTCTGGAGACACAAAAGACTGATCTTAAATCTTGAAAAAGGGGTAAATTAGGTGCCCTTTAAACACGAATATCTGAATTTAATCACTACAAACTCTAATGTGGAAGTAAAAAATAAGGTTTGTCTATTAGCAGTGGGACATAACAGTGTTACTTTTCTCTCCAGATGAACTCTTGCCATTTAAACCTTAAACTGAATAATTCAGACATCGCAAACTTTAGGATGTGTTATTGCATTAAATAACCTGTAGATTGATCATTATGATGCATGAAAAAAGAAACACAACCTGTAAAAAAGAGAAAAAAATACAGTATTTTTTGCACTTAAAAACTGAAATTCTGACCTAAATGCGAGACACCATCCTGAAATCAGCTGATATTTGGCTGCTCCATCAAGGGTTGCATGCTGAATGTGCTGTTAAAGACCATTTTGAGGGATGTAAACAAAACAATGGTTCCAACATATTTCCTGATTTACATTTGTAATTCCTGTAGCTTTTGAGAATCCAAAAAAGCCACATATGGATAAATAATGTTATGTTTTACATTAGGTTATGATTAAATGGCTTCTTGTTACAGTTAGGAAATACTTTGATAATAAACAGGAAATGTGCATGAGCAAATGACATGACCACATTGAAATGGTAGCCTGGAAATCAAATGTTGTGAGGACTTTGAGAAAATCTAGTTGTTAAATTCGTCCCATGTTCGTCCCCGCTCTCCCCTACATTGTAAAATGCTGGTTCCACACAATTGAAGATTCCAATTGTGTTGGGAAAATATGAGGGAGTTAAGTTAACTGATTAGTTTTTACAAATGTAAGTGGATTGAACATAAAACAATTAGGCTGTCACCCCCAAAAAATCAAAAGTTTATTGTTTCAGCTTATTTTAGATGAGTTGTTAGAACAGAGTGTGTGATTACTCATTTAATAACTTTACATTTAAATTGTGTAATAGTTTTTGTAACACTTGATAGGCTAGTTTCCCCCCAAACTGAACAATCTATCATTATTTACTCACCGTTCACTTATCACAAACCTGTTAGACTTTATTTTATTTTCCTCCTAAACACTACATTTATTTGAGAAATGTTGGATATCCAAATATAAATTAAATATCCAAATATTAAATATCCAAATATATAGTAAATATATATTTACTATGAAAGTCAATGGTTACAGGTTAATTTTTTTTTCAAAATATCTTTTTTTTTAATTCAACAGAAAAAGGAATCTAGGTATGGAATAGGCTACGAGGTGAATAAATGTTCATTTTTTGAGTGAACTATGCCTTTAATAACATGGTGCCATTTATTAACTTTCTAAATAAGCATATAGTATGGTTGAAAGGGGGTTAAACTGATTTAAAGGACATCAATTGGGCTAGTGAAGGAGAGAGAAAACAGTGCCTCCAAAATGATAAATGAATCCCAATGTCAACACATCCATCATGGCCGGTAACTCGAAAGACCCTCCTGGGGAGAAGCACAGTTCAACTTTGTACACTGTTCACCACCCGGCGCTCTCAACCTTGAAAAGACGCTTTGCGATATAATGAGGGAGTAAAGACGATGACGTATGTGTGTTCAGGGCTTAGCTGGTAATAGGAAATGGCTAAATAACATTGTAGGAATTGCAGCGCTCATCAATGTCCCGATCAATAATCACGATGGCCAGTCAAATCAATGAAGGCGGGGCTTAAATGCAGACACCAAACTTAAAAACTAAAAATATATGACGTTTGATTATTTGTTTAAAGATAGAACATTTAAAATAATGTAATGCAAATTACCATTTGTCAAATTTCCAGTTTTTGAAATGACAAAAACAATGATACGGAGGACGAAACCTGCAAAAACAATAAATAAATAAATAAATACGCAAATATATAAAGAAATGAGTAAATACATTCATAAATTTCTACATAAATAGAATGATAAATAAATATAAAAATAAATAAATGTATTTGCTTTTTTCTCAGACCAACATGCTAAAGAGAGGGTATCTGTCAATCATCAGAAGGCGGTCCTTATGCCATCATAGGTTTATTATTGGAAAAATTTAGCATTGGATTTTTAGACTGAATTCTGATAGACACCCTCATTAGCATGTTGACCTGAGCTACGTTCGAGAATGAATAAACGTTTGAAAGGGGGAAAAATAAACTTTGTTCAGCATTTTCTTATTACCCTAACATTTGTGTAATTTATTTGATTATTTACCTGCCTGCACTATAAATTATTTAAATATTCATTTACCCAGGAATTTGTGGATTTTTATATATACATTTATTTATTTGCATATTTATTTATTTATGTAATGTTATATATATATATATATATATATATATATATATATATATATATATATATATATATATATATATATATATATATATATATGCAGAAGGGCGAGGCAGTGGCGCAGTAGGTAGTGCTGTTGCCTCACAGCAAGAAGGTTGCTGGGTCGCTGGTTCGAACTGGTTCGAGTTGGCGTTTCTGTGTGGAGTTTGCATGTTCTCCCTGCCTTCGCGCGGGTTTCCTCCGGGTGCTCCGGTTTCCCCCACAGTCCAAATACATGTGGTACAGGTGAATTGGGTTGGCTAAATTGTCCGTAGTGTATGAGTGTGTGTGTGTGATTGTGTGTGTGGATGTTTCCCAGAGATGGGTTGCGGCTGGAATGGCATCCGCTGCGTAAAAACTTGCTGGATAAGTTGGCGGTTCATTCTGCTGTGGTGACCCCGGATTAATAAAGGGAATATGCAGACAAGAAAATGAATAATTTTTTTTTGTAGGTTTCGTTCTAAATATATTAAATGTAATGTTAGCTAGCCAAAATAGGACGTTAAAATCTAATTATTTCCCAATAGCTATCAAAAACGAATTTTAAAGTGAAAGTTTGTGTAAAAAAGTGTAGGGAAAACTAAAAGTTAATATTAACTATTCATTAAATAAATAAATAAAGCAGCTAATCAGATGCGTTTTCATTCTTGATTTTAATGGAGCACTTCTGATCATTTCTAAAAGCTGATTCCAGCAGTGGGGGTGCAGTAGCTGAAGGCGGATTCACCCAGCTTTGAATGAACACTTGGAATTCGTAATTTACTTGATTCTAATGATCTGAGAGATCTGTTAGGTTTGTATTCAGTGAGCATACCTGTAATGTATTGAGGTCATAGGCCATTTAGTGATTTATAGACAAGTAGTAATACAACAAAATCTATTCTGAATGTAACTAGGAGCCAGCGTAAAGACCTGAGGACAGGTGTGATGTGCTCTGATTTACTGGTTCTCTTGTTTTGGTCAGAACCCTGTCGTTTCGGGATGGCCAGTGAGGAGTCCATTACAGTAATCCACTCTGCTGGTGATAAAAGCATGAACAAGTTTCTCAAATCTATTTAAAACAAATAGTGAACTTTTTTTTAATTGGTGTTAATGATTTTAGTCAGACTCAGTATATAGTAAAAATTCTTTAACCCAACGTTTATTAAACATCCAGACACCACAAATTTGTTTTGAACACTTTCTTTATTCATTTTATCTTCCAAGTATACAGTAGCAAACCAGCCCCATGAGCAAATATATGACTATTCCTCTAACAAAATTCTCATCTACCCTTATAAATAAAGCATCATCTAAATTCATATCACATACAAATTGTATAGACTTTTTATATCTGAACATTTTTAAAATGTTTGACAGATTATATACATGTATAATCTATTCGGAATTGCATAGCAACTCATACAAAGCACTGACAAAATACATATTCTATCGTAAGGACATCTCACCACAAACACACTATGGCAATGCTAACAACTCAATGTTGTCAAATGGCTGCTTTTGTAAAAAGTCCAGCTTTCCTGTCTTAGTTATTATTCAAGCATTTAGTCATATTTTATTTTTGTACATGTACATAAAGTGACCCGGTTGAATACACAAGAATTTAAGCCTTGCAGAAGTTGACGTAAATATATATATATATAACTCTATTAGAGGTAATGCACCGATGCAAAACTCGTGTTTAGTTTCCTCCAACAGCAATTTTGTCACTGAAAATGTGATTTATCATCCATTAGACAGTTTCTTTATTCTTACCGAAAGTAATACGTTGCTGCATGACTTTAAAAATTCTGTGAGGAACCTAAAATCACACTATGAGTTAAACATTTTAACACAGTTCAGTGCAAGCAATCAATGCTAAGAGATATAATCCCATTCCTGAAGCAAACTTCATTCATATAGGCGTATGATTATGGCCATAAAATAACAGCAAATCTATTGACTAACAAATGATTAATAAGAACTGATTTAATACTAAAGTCGTAATTAATGGATGTTTGTGTTACGAAGTTCAAGCATTTGCCACAAAGAGAGAAATTGGCCTTAAGCAACAGCTGAGGAAGCATTCTTAAACACAGGAGGCTATGAAACCAACGTCTAAAAGTCAAGCTAAAGGAAGCGTCCAGTGGATTCAAACTATTAGGGTATAGGCTAATGTTTCATAAACGTAATCAGAAGCAGTGCAAAACTCTCCCGTTAAGCTTTCATGAGGTTTATCCGGTTTTCTTTAATAGTAGTTTTCTTTTAAACCAGAAAATGTGTTTTAGATTTATTAGTATTTATTTTATTTATAAATGATTTACTTGTAATATATATTAATATATTTTTGTTTCTGATTGTCTTATGTCTTATTAATTAATCAAAATCTACTTATCTTCATAATTAATTAATTTTGATAACTACACTCGATAATAACTAGGACTGGGCGATATGGCAAAAGTGCAATCTCGACAATTATTTTCCATATTGAACAATAACAATATAAATTTTGATTGAAGTTGCTTCCAGATTTAAACGAGTACCCCAACAATGACGAAAGCCACAAAAATTAGAGGTTCCATTAAATGGCATAACATTTTCAGCTGATAAATTTTTGGTGGCTGAAAATTTGGTACAGAGCTATCGCTGTTAATGACGTAAATTTTATCGCGATTTGATAAAATATCAGTTATCGGCCCAGCCCAGATAAGAACAAGAGTAGTTTCCTTTTAAATCTGAAAATGTATTTTAGAATTTAGTATTTATTTAATTACAAATTATTTATTTGTAATATATTTAATATAGTATATATTTTTGCTTATGATTGTCCTATGTCCTATTAATTAAAAGAAATCTACTTATATTCAACAAAATTTTGATTCATAATTAATTTTCATTACTACACTCAATTATGACTGGGCGATATGGCAAAAATGCAATCTCGCTAATTATTTTCCATATCAAACGATAAAGATGTATGTTTCAATAGAAGTTGTTAATGCTTCCAGATTTAAAAGAGTAGCCCAACAATGACTAAAACCGCAAAAATTAGAGGATCCGTTAAATGGCATAATATATTTTCGGACGAAAAACTTTCCGTGGCCGAAAATTTGGTACATCTCTAATATCAACACACTTCTAGATTCCCATTGTTGCACATTTCTGCTGTGTGATTGGCTCTTAGATCAGTAAAGAGTAAAAAAGTCAAGCGCTGTCATTGTTATTGACATAAATTTTATCGCGATTCGATATAATCCAGTTTATTGGCTCAGCCGTAATAATAACAATAGTAGTTTCTTTTTAAACCTAAAAATGTATTTTAGAATTTAGTATTTATTCATTTACAAATAATTTATTTGTAATTTATTTAATATAGTATATATTTTTGTTTTTAATTGGCTTATGTTTTATTAATTAAAAGAAATCTACTTATCTTAAAAAAAAAAAAAATCCTAATTAATTTTGATAACTACACTCGATAATAACTAGGACTGGGCGATATGGCAAAAATGCAATCTCCATAGTTATTTTCCATATTGAACAATAACAATATTAATTTTGATTGAAGTTGTTAAGGCTTCCAGATTTAAACAAGTACCCCAACAGCCACAAAAATTAGAGGTTCCATTAAATGGCGCAACATTTTCAGCCGATACATTTTTTAGTGGCCGAAAATTTGGTACATCTCTAATATCAACAGACTATTAGATTCCCATTGTTGCACATTTCTGCTGTGTGATTGGCTCTTAGATCAATATAGAGTAAAAAAGTCATTGTTAATGGCATAAATTTTATTGCAATTCGATATAATATCGTTTATCGGCCCAGCCCTGATGAGAACAAGAGTAGTTTTTAAAATGAATAGTAATAGTAATAAAATAGTAATAAAAGTAATAGTACTTCGCTTCAGCCCTGAAATTCCACAATTTTTTTTCCTAATCCTGTCCTAAAGAGCAGAGCGATGCAGTTTTGCATCAGGACGGGACTCATGCGTTCAGAAACGTGACACAAACACTGTCTGCTTGGCGTTACGATCAATACAGAGAGCGAACATGGTCATTTCCACACATATGCTGCCACGTAGCATTGCTAACATGTGGCCGTATACTGTATCAAACTGGCCACCGTTGAGACGGTGGCTGTGGTTTTAGTGGTGGACAGAAAAGATGTCCAGTCACACTGCCGTCTCATGGTCATCTCTCTGGATCATTTGATGGTGTTGTTGGTTTTCCAAATATTCAGCTAGCTCGTAGTCTCGAGTTCTCTCTGCGTACATCTTTGGAGTTTCACCCTGCAGGACAAGGGGAAGGATATGTTGGTAACAGTGTAAATTAAGGATTCATTTATTAACTATATTAATTAGTGCATCAGGAAGAGAGAAGAGGGGAAACTTTTTTATTTTATGTTTTTATTTTTAATTATATTTTTTGTTATTTATTTATTTATTCATTCATTCATTCATTTTATTTATTTATTTATTTATTTATTTGTTTGTTTGTTTTAGTTTTTTCTTCTCTCTTCCTGATGCATATCACTTTTTGATTTTAATCAAGAATTAAATCCAATGAGATCATTCATTCATTCATTCATTCATTCATTCATTCATTCGTTCAGTTTCCTTCGGCTTAGTACCTTTATTAATCTGGAGTCGCCACAGTGACTTATTCAGTATATGTTTTACACAGCGGATGCCCTTCCAGCTGCAAGTTGCAACCCAGTTCTCTGAAACATCCATACACACTCATACACTAGGGCCAATTTAGTTTATTCAATTCACCTATAGCGCCCATCTTTGGACTATAGGGGAAACAGGAGCACCCGGAGGAAACCCACATGAACACGGGGAGAACATGCAAACTCCACACAGAAAAATGACAGCTTTTTTAAAAGCAATGGGTTTACTCACCTTTTTAAAAAGTAAAGTCAACTAATAGCTTTAAAAGCCACGGCTTTAACCACTTTTTTAAGTAAAGTCAAATAATCGCCTTAAAATGCTGGGTTTACTCACATTTTTCAAGTAAAGTCAACTAATCGCTTTAAAAGTAATGGCTTTGCTTAATTTTTTAAGTAAAGTCAAGTAATCATTTTAAAAGTCACAAGTTTACTTTTTAAGTCAACTAATCTTTTTTAAAAACAATGTGTTTACTCAGTTTTTTTAAGTCAACTAATCTTTTAAAAGCAATGGCTTTACTCAATTTTTTTAAAGTCAACTAATCGCTTTAAAAGCAATGGTTTTTAAGTAGTCAAGTAATCATTTTAAAAGGCACGGGTTTACTCACTTTTTTAAGTCAACAATTTTTTTTAAAAGCAATGGCTTTACTAAATTTTTTAAAGTCAACTAATCGCTTTAAAAGCAATGGTTTTTAAGTAGTCAAGTAATCATTTTAAAAGGCACGGGTTTACTCACTTTTTTAAGTCAACTAATTTTTTTAAAAGCAATGGGTTTACTCACCTTTTTAAAAGTAAAGTCAACTAATAGCTTTAAAAGCCACGGCTTTAACCACTTTATTAAGTAAAGTCAAATAATCGCCTTAAAATCCAGGGGTTTACTCATATTTTTCAAGTAAAGTCAACTAATCGCTTTAAAAGCGATGGCTTTGCATAATTTTTTAAGTAAAGTCAAGTAATCATTTTAAAAGCCACGGGTTTACTCACTTTTTTAAGTCAACTAATCTTTTTCAAAAGCAATGGCTTTACTAAATTTTTTAAAGTCAACTAATCGCTTTAAAAGCAATGGTTTTTAAGTAGTTAAGTAATAATTTTAAAAGACACGGGTTTACTCACTTTTTTAAGTCAACGAATTTTTTTAAAAGCAATGGGTTTACTCACCTTTTTAAAAGTAAAGTAAACTAATTGCTTTTAAAGCCATGGGTTTACTCATTTTTTAAAGTAAAGTCAACTAATCACATTAAAAGCCATTGGTTTACTCACTTTTTTAAGTAAAGTAAAATAATCTCTTTAAAAGCAATGCATTTACTTTACCTTTTAAAGTCAAACAAATGAATTGCTTTTTTTTTTTTTTTTTTACAGTGTATCTGATGTATCTAGCAATCATTTAAAAGCAATAAAGATGAGGTGTGGGATCGCACCTGTAGATCTGTCTTCATGAGCGATGCACCAGCATCCACCAGATAACAGCAAATTGTTCTATGGCACAACGCAGCTGCCTTATGCAGAGCTGTCTCTCCTCTAAGACCAAAAAAAAAGTGAAAAACAACAGCTAATCATTATCATGCTGATTTCAGCTGCTTAAATT